TTCGAGTCTTTGCATAGGATTTCAGCGCTTGCACGCAAAGTTTGGCGTCATTCCGGAATATTTTGGTATGATTCAGACGCGTTCGTCGAAGTGTAAAAGTTTGAAAGTTTAAAGAAAGGTTTTGATAATCGATTTGCAATTATGATGTTATTTGGTGTAATTTGAGACCCCGAGTAGATTTTTGTTATATTTTGGGACTGGTTGGTACGTTTGGATAGGGTCTAGGGGCCTCGGGTTTGAAACTGATTGAGAATGGATTGAAACTTGTAATTTAGGACATGCTGATGCTGCTGAAATCTGATGCCATCGCACCTAAGGAAGGAGTGGCCGCAGGTGCGGTCACGCAGGTGCGAAGATTCCATCGCAGGTGCAATTGTCGTGGGGGAAGTGTAGGAGCGTAGGTGCGAGGAAATTTCTGTACCTACGAAGCCGCAGATACGGAGAAGAGGTGCAGAAGCGGAGGTTGGCCAAGAAGGCCTGGGCCGCAGAAGTGGACATGGTCACGCAGGTGCGCGAGCGCAAAAGCGTTTGAGGCCCGCATAAGCGGAAGCGCATGTGCGCTACTCGGGGCACATAAGCAAGTGTTGTTGGTTTGAGCTGGAGCCGCACCTGCGATGGATCTTCCGTAGGTGCGGAGCCGCAGATGCGGCTACCGTTCCACATGTGCGAGGAAGCGCTGGGCAGATTCGATTTATATACGGGATTTGGCCCATTTTCTTTCATTCTCTCTTGGCTTGGGCGATTTTTGGAGAGCTTTAAGTGGAGGTTTTCATCATCTATATCAAGGTAAGTAATTCCCACATATTGTGAGTTAAATACATGATTTATATATGGATTTGAACATGGAAATTAGTAGAAATTTGGGATTTTGGTAGAAAACCTAAAAATTGGTATTTTTGGATTTTGACTACTAAATTGGACATAGAAATTGGAATAAATTATATATTTGAGTTTGTAGTGCTATGGATAAAGTTTATCTTCGAAAATTTCGGAATCCGGACACGTGGGCCTAGTGGTTAACTTTATTGACTTTAGAGTGGAGTTGGAAATTATTATAAATTGATTAATTATAAGTATTGGAGTATATTTTGATTGAATTGCACATTGTTTAACTAGTTTCGGATCGTTTGACTTGAATTGAAGAGTTAGAGAGGCGTTGGAGTCGGTTATGGAACTTCCGAGCGAGGTAAGTCTCATGTCTAACCTTGTGAGGGGAAACTACCCTTAGGTGATGTAATTGCTATGTGATACTAGTTGTGGGTGTTACGTACTCACGAGGTGACGAGATTCCGTACGTAGCTAAAGCATGTTTATGTCCGGGTAGACTTAGGACCTTATTATGCAATAATTGAATTATTTGAACTCGTTCTGCTAGCTTAATTACTTGAAGTTATAATTGAAATTGATTTAGAAATAAATATATGTATACTAGATCGAGCCTTATCACCTTGAGTTGTTGGCTAGTTATTTGAGTAACGATAAAGATTATGTTCACTTTGTGCTCATGTACTGTATTGTAAGCACGTGTCTCGTAATTCGATAAATTGCTTCCTTTCTTGTGGAACGGGAACGCCTCGGGAGTATAATAGATGCATCTATGATTCGTGTCGCTCGACCCTCGGCAGTGTACATATTATTCTGAATCGGGCCGAATGACCTCGGTATAATCGTGTGTTATATCACTGGTAGTCCGAACATTCACGAGATTATCTTTCTGCTGATGCCCGACATCTTATATGGTATGCCTTATTCATTTGATATTGGCAGTTGACATTTTGAGTCGTTAAGGCAGAATACAAGATTGAGAAATTCATACTTTAAAGGAATTATTTGGAAGATTTTGTAACCTACAAACTTAGCCCATTATTGCTCTGTGCTTCATATCTGCTTATGATTTATTATATTATTTTATTGGACCTCTAGTAAGTGTCGATGTCGACCCCTCGTCACTACTTCTCCGGGGTTAGTCTAGATACTTACTGGATACGCATTGATTTACGTACTTATGTTGTACTTCGCCACTAAATGTGTAGGATTTGACAGGTTCATATGGCGGTGATCTTGGCGCGTAGGCGCAGCTGTTGAGGAGATTTTATGGGAGCTACATTCCAGGCTACGCATCGTAGTCCAAGGAGTCTTCATCGTATTATTTAATTTATCCTATCTCATTTACATTCTAGACGGATGTTGTAATATTATTGCACTACTTAGTAAATGCTCATGATCTTATGATATCGGGTTTTTGGAGTATTCTAGAACTTATTATGGATTGTTTTACACTGATTCACTTTCACTTATTATGTTAACGAAACTTTACGTAACTACGATTTATTTTAATGCACTAACCTCGTCATCCAAGAGTGACTTATGATTTTAAAAATGATAAAATAAATAATTAAGTGTTGGCTTGCCTAACGGCGATGTTGGGGCCATTACGGCCTATAGAAGAAATTGGCTCGTGACAAGCACAACTTCCAAAGACAACTCGGGAGCGGCGTTCTTCGCCTTTTTATTTTTTTCCCCAGCTGTGGAGGAACGTCTTCTTTTTGGTTTCTTGTTCTCCTGCTGGGGACTCCGTGAAGAAGCACTCACACCAGAAGTAGGCCCGGAGACACCTGTTTGTATAAAAGCCTCCGGCAGTAGCCTCGCCGCATCAGCAGGATTAGCCAAGCTGTCCTTCTCGAGGACGACAATTGAGCCCTAGGGTAGACCTGAATCCAAGAGGAGAGAAAGGTTAAACAACTTCCTTATACGAAAAGCACAAAACAAGATGAGTTTGGCTTACCATGATTTTTGGTCTTCCACCCATATTTAAGGGACAATTCTTTCCACGTACAGGTCTCGAGCATAGTAACGTCCAAAGTTTTCTGGACCTACTGGTCCAAGCCTTCAACCCTAGGTGGAACCCACTGAGTCGCTGAAATAAGCGAAAGAAGAAGGGTCAATAACGATATGGAATGGTCTTTAATGGAAGAAAAGACAAATGGTGAACTTACGAGTGTGGTTCAATAATTACGGAAAGGATGAAGCCGCAGCCGGAATGATATCACTGGTGGCGACTGAAACGAACCGTTCCATCCATGTCATCATTCATGCTGGATAGCAAAGCATGGTGGCCGCGCTTGCTGAAATTTATCATTTCCCCATAAAAGATCTTGGGGGAATAGAGGTTCATCAATCGAGCTAGGGTTATATCTTCTCCTGTCTCCTAGCACAGGCGCCGAAGACAAACGACTGTCTTCCACATAGAAGGACTTGTGCCAAGCACACCTGGTAGCGGATGCAGAACTCCATGCTGACGGAGTCAAGCTCTCCACTCAAAGAGAACGGTCCCAAAGTGAACAGATATGTGTAAAAATACGTAAAATCCTTCCTGGGTAAGGTTATCCGCTCCGTCAGATCGGGAGCGATAATATCTAAATCTTGACAGTGGGAATCTTCCTTCACAACAGGAATACTGGAAGGATGGATGGAAGAAGGATATACACTAACGGCCCACGTACGAGGGTGAGCGGAAGGATAATTCTCTTCAAAGTCTTTGGCGGTGACAAGACTCTTTCGGATGATGGAACTCACCGTAGGAGGAGCAGCATCATCAGCTTTACCTTTGTTCTTTGAAGAACTAGGGTTTCTGGAAGAAGAGGCCATTTTTTATCAGAAAGGAGGGAAGGTTTTCTCTCAAGAAAAAGGTTAAAGAAAGGTTGAAGACAAAGTACGAGTTGAGTAAAGAGAGTTTGAGAAAGTGTAGAGAATTATGAAGTGTAAATGAAGAGATTTGATGCGTATAAGTAAAGGTATAGGCGGCTAAAATCGTGGCCATAATTACCTCGATAACCGGCAAAAGTGATGCTAAATCATGGGATGACGCGTGTTCGGGGCATTAAATGCGGATAGACGTGCGTTTAAACAACCATCAGAAACTTTTCAGAGGAGGTCAGAGAATTTCACGCCAAAAAGGTATTTCTACCAAGTTCCCGGTGACATAAAGTTATGCCACCGAAAAGGAGGGGGACTATCTGTATGGGGTAAAATATGTTCATATTTAATGATCGCATGAGAAAGCGACACGTATAACCGAATGAGAAGATATCTAAACTCGAAGGCAATGATCTCGCTTATCATCGGAGACAATGATACTCATAACGACAAAATTAATAACGCCATCCGGTAGCATTCAATGAAGAATATTCTACAGCATTAAGTGCATGATCCATTACAGAGAGTATGACATTCACTACCCACAGTTACACATCCTTCAATAGCCCTCATAATTATCATTAAAGAGGAGCTTGATCCTAGGACCTTGTTCCCTAGGTGCAACTATAAATAGAGAGCTTTATTATCATTATAAATGACACAAATTTTCTCACAAGCATACACTATATTCTATCAAAAGCTCAATAACATTTTACTTTCTTGCTTATTTGTGCTGTTCTTATTATTCCTGGTAGCTCTGCGCCCGGAACCAAGATGTCGTCTATTTCAATTTTAAGGCTAAGTCTTATATTTCTGTCTAATTCATCTATTATTTTTGAATTAAATTAATTCACTTGTTTATAAATCACGCATAAATTCAACTGTACCGTTTTACGGGTAAACAGTTGCCTGAATCTCCGAATTCATTCCTCCATCTTTTGAATACATGACCTTTCGATGACCATAATCTCAAGCCTTCCGAACTCGGCAACGGGTCCCATCCCTTGATTTTTAGATCATAATTGCCACGTGGGACTTTTTGATCAGGCTACTTGGAGAAGGTAATTTTTACCCATACAACAAGCACGGGTGAATAACCACAGTATATTCAAACGGGTAGTTGTAATTTGTTTGTCTTATTTGATAACTGATAAACAAATCTCGGTCCCAATTCGCAATATTATCTAATAGGCACATGATGATCATGAACGTACAAAAATTGTGGTAAAGTTAGCGGTTAGCCACCCTAACAACTACTGTAGTATGGAAGTTTGAATTACACTTGTAAGAGGAAAAAGGTTAATATTAACTAGTTTCATTGATTAAGCTGGAGCAGCACGTCAGTGTATATGTGTCTCTTCCTCAGCACCTCTCGTGATTCCTCCTCTATCTCAGCCACCAAAAACCCTTGAAATCCTCCAACCCATCAATCTTTAACACTTGGTCGTTTCTATGTACTATTTCATAATGTTTTTCTTTTCTTGGATATATATATATAAAAGACTTTCTCTAACTGGACTTATGATTCTTGTTGTTTTCTGATTGATTGGTTAGTTTTATTTTGCGAGTAGCAAATAATTATGGCGCGGAACAAAGACGGGGAAAACGAGGAAGATGAGTTTTTCTTGGAAGAATCAGATGAAAATCTTGAAGCTGGTCATATTAATACAGAGGAAGACATGACAGAAGATGATGAACATGAAGAAGGAGAAGGGAGGCCTTCTCGTTCCTCTTCTTTTGTTTCTCAACAGTGGCCACAGAGTGTCAGGTAAGTAAGACACTACTCTTGCATATACATGTTCCTGAACTAAATCAATTTCTGTATATTGTACTGTGTCTCTCCCAGTTGGACCTTTAATTTATTAGTTGCTAGCTTGTCCCAATTTTATATTCGTACTTGTGATTTATTTTCAGCTGGTATACTAAAAGTGGATGAGCATTCACTACTTATTAGTTATATCAGTTGATGGGCATATACAGCGTATGGCTGTAGTGGGCTCGACAAACAGCTGTGCTAGTGATAATAACTGCGCAAAATTAGTTAAATTCGGAGGCAGCCTAGATTGTTTGACAAACCTTGATGTGGCTGAGATGCATTGGCTGAGATGCATTTCCATAACCTCACTGTTAGAGACATAATTAAGTAAATAAAATGTATTCTATCTAATAGGTTAAGGTTTTAGAATGTCATACAATTCAACATGATATTAGAGCATGAAAAAGTACAGCGTTCAAGTCTCGGCGCCATCTAGTATAAGAAAGAATTTCTTCGTGCTTGGCTTATAAAAATAATCAGGTGAAGGGACGTGTTAAATACATTATTAAGTAAATAAATGTATACGAGGTTGTCACACAATTCAACACTCGCAAGGACAATATTATCTTGCCCCTCCATGTGACGTGCTATCAGTAGTCATTAGTGCTCTGAATGACAAACTATTAGTAGTTACTGTTACGGTACAATCATGGAGCTTTCACTGATACAGACATAGAAATCTTATACATCCTTGGTGATGTAACGACGAGGCGAGATCTCCAAGTTATGGTTACTGGCACATTTAACCTTCAGAAATTAGTCAACTTTAGGGGTTTCAGTGGGACAGGTAGCAATATTCAAGGGAAAATTCAACAAGACTATGATTTTACTCTTCTCAGAGCTTTTAGCCGACTCTACTTTCTCTCTCTGGAATATTCTTCTTCTCTGTTACTCTGAAATCCTCAATTGATGGACCTTATTAGCTCATTTGCTGTTATTTCATCACCGTTCCATGGACTCTTGCAAGGGGATAAGAAGTTTTTGATGGTCGTTTGGGGGGACGAACCGAGGTAGTAAATGGAGGGCATAAGTAGTATTTTGGCTCCTTGAAAGCTGCCCGAAGGGCTAACCCAACTCCTCTAGGGAAATAGAAGGTTAAATATGTTGATACAGAGCTATTAACATCAATATCTATTTAAAATTTATTTAATATTCTAAACCTGAAGTGTTCAATGTTGTGGTGATAATTACAAATGATGTAATTGTAGTAGCTTAGGTATACATTGAACTGTTTTCTATGAATTTCCAACTAATTAGAAGATATGTGCTATGTTTCATTTTTTTTTTTCCATGGGAAGGTAGAAGATCAAGTATTCATATTTACAAAATGTTGTATAGCTTACAAAAGTTAGTTTTCCAATTGTATATGCCTCCTTATTGTCACTATTTTTATGTATGAGCTATTTCATATTTGTGTTGTTGGAACTGAGAAATCGCTGATGGCCATGGACTGTTGTGAAGTACTTCAGTGCAACCATAGTGAATTGCAGAAAGGTTACTGAGTAGGGCTTGTCCCATGAGTTGGAATTAAAACTCCAAGGTGTTTCCTAGTGGTTGTGACATTCTTAAGTTTTGCTTAGACTAAGGTTTTATACAGTGGGAAATTTGAAGATAAATTGATTCTGATCTTTGTATTGCTCTGGGATGTTGCCAGGTATAAATGAAATTTAGAAAAAGTGAAAGAGAACAGACTAAAACCTCGATCAAAATATTTAGATCATTGTGTTAAGCTATTGCTGGATGCTCCTTGTTTCCGCTCATATGGCTACTGCTTGTACTAGAATTAGAATTCATATGGTAACTTCAGGTGACATCAATTAGAGGCATAATTTATGATTGATGGATTACAGGCACGTGTTTAGCTATGTTCAACTCGTTTGAAACTATTCGGGCCTTAATTCTCTTCTGTTTTCCATTTCCAATTCTTCTTTCAGGGAGTCTATGGATGTTTACACAATTGCTGCATCACCAAACTTTGGATCCTTTCAGCGTGTAGCCAGCTTTAAGTTTTCAACTTCTGATATCTCTAGTCAAAATAACTTGGTTTGGAGTGTAAAGACCCCTTTGCTGTCTATTGATGGGAAGAGTCACCAGAAAAGCGACCTTGATGTGCCCTGGAGATCACAAGTTTCATGGCCAGAAAAGGTTTCATCACATATAATCACTGGAGAACTTCCAATTAGCCACGGATGTAGCCTTGTTCAAACTATATTCAATGGTTAGAATCATCACTGTAATATTCTGGGAATGCAAAATCCTTTGTTTCTGGATGGTTATTCTATCTGCAATTTCTGATCATGATTTGGGCTCAGGGAAGAATTCTAGAGAGGATATATAGTTAACAATAGAACAAGGTTAAAAGATGAAGAGAAAGGAAAATAGAACAAAATCAATGAAATAAAAAGTTTACACTTAGTGGGAACGGTCAATTCCTTTTGCGTCATTTGCAGCACCTGTTATCAATATAGTGGTTTTCTTCTTTAACTTTTTGGTCATGATTACATTCCAGTGATTCTTTGCTTAATTGAATTGTTTTTATTTTATGGAATTTCAAGGGCTTCTCATGCTATGTAACAGGGACAAATGTCATGGCTGGAGTTGGACTTCTTTCTACACCTTATACAGTGAAACAAGCAGGTTGGGCAAGCATGGCAGTGCTTGTTCTTTTTGCATTAGTCTGTTGTTATACTGCTTGTCTTATGCGATATTGCTTTGAAAGCAAAGAGGGAATTACATCATTTCCGGACATGGGAGAAGCTGCATTTGGAAAATATGGACGTATTCTAGTATCTGTAAGTTCATATATTCAGCTTTGCACCTAATTATAGGCTAGTGGGCTAAGGAGATATTTGGTTATTATGTCAAAGACCATGAGGTTTGTATTATTTCATTTGATATATACAGTTAATTACCTAGTTATATGCTAGTGGGCTAGGGGCTACTATGTCAAAGACCATGATATCTCTTTTCTTTCATTTAATGTAAACATGGTGGCTTACTAGCCCGACAAAATGTTTGCTACTTTCAGCAATTATAGCCTGTATTAATATGCCTTTTCTTTGCTTTTAAAGAAAATCACCTGACAAGTCCTCAGAAGTCGCAACTATAAGTATTCGTCTGAGATTGCTTCGACTAATGATCTGAGGGCATAAAGAATCTTGGCCATTTCGGGTGACTGAAATAAGAGGGAAGGGAAAGAATAAAAACATAGAAAAATAAAACAAGTCAATGAAGTGGAAAGGATTAAATATGTGGAGTAAGAATTATATATAGCCAATAATGAAAAGGTGGTCTCTAAACTACTGCATGTTAACCCTGTGGTTTTCTTTCTTTGGTACAGATTATTTTGTACATGGAGCTATATGTAAGAGATGCACTCCTCAGCTGGATTTGCAGATTGTTTGGTCTCATTTGACATTGCTCAATTCCTAATAAGTCTTTCTTGACTTGCAGTCCTCTTGTGTAGAATTTATCATACTTGAAGGGGATAATCTCACGCGGCTATACCCTGGAGCACACATTAACTTGTTTGGTTCTCGATTGGACTCCATGCACTTGTTTGCAATCATTAGTGTTCTTATCATTCTGCCCACAGTTTGGTTGAAAGATTTACGATTGATCTCTTACCTTTCAGGTTTCAAAAAAGTTCTACAGCGGCTACCAATTTTTAGTTCTTTATCAGACCATAATACTACATTGCCCTTTTTTGCAGTCGGAGGCCTCATTTCGACAGCTCTAGTGGTCGTATGTCTTCTCTTACTTGGGACAGTAGATCAAATTGGATTTCGTCAGACGGCTCCAGTGGTAAATTGGAGTGGTATTCCATTTGCAATAGGTGTCTATGGGTATTGCTATTCAGGGCACTCTGTTTTCCCAAATATCTATCAATCTATGGCCGACAAAACCAAATTTACAACAGCAGTCATTGTGTGGTATAGAGCGCTTTATGATTTTTATTGATCACTTTTTTTTCACAGCCAGTATAATTTTTGGTTTTGGGTATTGTGCAGCTTTACTTTGTGTATTCTCTTATACGGTGGTGCTGCAATCATGGGATTTCTTATGTTTGGTCAATCTACGCATTCACAGATTACTCTGAATTTGCCAAAACATGCTTTTGTTTCTAATGTTGCATTATGGACGACAGTGAGTTTTGTTTGCTCTCCTCCCTTAGAGCTGTCATTATCGTTTTATATTTAATTTATTTCATTTCATTTGCAGGTAGTAACTCCAGTTACCAAATATCCTTTTATGAGATTAAGTTTTCTTTGAAGAAGCTTTTTCATTGTTGTCAATGTTCTTATCAATTTCTAGTTGAGTTCCTTAACTTTTCACAAATACTCCTTGTTACTGAACCCGTTAGCTAGAAGTATTGAGGAGTTGCTTCCTGCAGCTTTGGCTACTAGTTACTGGTTTTTCATTGTCCTAAGGACAGCATTGGTTATATCTACACTTTGTGTTGCATTTCTTCTTCCCTTTTTTGGTAAGTTATTTTAAACCGTTTAATCTTCTTTCTTATTCATTGATTCAGACTGCACTATTCGTAATCAATTTTGCAATTGTTATGTTTCGTTTAGCTGCCTGTTGACACATATGTGCGCATGGCTGCTTTTGTGCTGCTTGTGGTAGTTTACCAGTTTATCTCTGCTTATTATATCAAAAAGTACGGCGTACTCTGATTTTCTTTGAACCCGAATATCACTCAGTATACAATCAATGAACCAAAAAGGGAGTCTTGGAATAGTGGTAAAGTTGTCTCCATTGTGCCTATAGGTCAATGGTTCGAATCATGGAATCAACCATTAACGCTTGTGTTATGGTAGGCAATCTACATCACACCCCTGGAGTACGGCCCTTCCCCAGACACTGCGTGAACACGAGAGACTTTGTGTACTAGGATGCCCTTTATACAATCAATGAACAGAATATTGTGTGCATATTCTGTTACTCCTAGGAATCATAAAATGATTCTCTAGTCCAGGATACTTAAAAGAGAAATCTTAAAAGTAAAGATCAACTTTGGTTACTTGAATGGCCTAGGGTTGTTTGAACGTTTCACTTTGATCTTTTATTTCCATCTTCTATGCTTTATTATGGTAGATTGCCTCTTATAAAGATTCTTTTCCTGCTTACATACCTACTGTTTTCATATTACATTCTTATGCAGCGACTACTATGAATCCTTTAGCTTATACTCAGATTGGTCTCCCTGGCCTGTCATTAAAGTTGTTCCTGCAAATGTACCCCTCAACACATTTTGGTTTCCTTTTCTTTGAATTCTATCAACCTTAGTTTATGTATCCTCATACAATGGAGAATTAATTTATTGAGATTTTGAAATTTAACTATTTATTTAGTACAGGGCTATTTCTGAAGTAATAATTGATAAACTTTTGATGATGGTGGCAACTAGAATCAACTGAACAAATACATCTATCCGAAAAAGAAATACATAGATAGAAATAGATAAGTAGGGAAAGGAGACTCCATGTGCTACGAATCATTCATGCCAAGCAGCTCACCACGAAGTTTCTAATAACACTCATACTCAGCTCAAGGGTTCCGCCAATACCACTCTCAGAACCTGCATAAAAATGTGCAAAACTGTAGTATGAGTACAAACCACAGTACCTAGTAAGTAGTAAGTCTAGTCTCGAATAAGTAATGGTGAGGGGTCGACTCTGACACCTACTAACAACTCAATAAGCATATGAATCATGAATATAACATAAAATAAAGCATAATATCATGAATCACGTTTGTCAAAAAAATCACAGTAAACTCGAATTTAGACATGCTTTTCAGGAATATCAGTCAAGGCGTCAACTTTTCCATATAAATAACTTAGACAGAGATTTTCAATGTAAATTGTGATTTCAAGCTCTAAACATCAAGTAGAAACATCAAGACCAAATAGCACGAGGAAAATATTACTCTATTCCTGTATGTCAAATACACATTCCCAAATTAACAATATCGCAGTTAAATCATCAAGTATTAACAATCTCAGCACATTCATAGTGTCTGGTACAAGTACCCCCTAATCATACTTTTAGCACTCTCATGGTGTCTGGCACAATGCCCCTGAATCACCACACAAACGCTCCGCAGTATACGGGCGCCTAACATAAGTCCATCACTAAGCACATATCAAGTGTATGCGCTCACAGGACCCAAGGTAACATGGGTAATCACTTGACTCCGGAGGGACGATACCAATCTAAGCGTCGTAGTGGCGTACTACCCGATCCACAAATATTCCGTTGGTGGCGTGCCACCCGATTCACACATGTACTTGTGGCGGCATGCCACCCCATCCACACACATACCCGTGGCAGCGTGCCAACCGATCAGAGCATAAACACGTGGCAGCGTGCCACCCGATCCACACAACATTATCAATAACTGATACCCGCTCATAATATCTATGGTGCCAAAATTCTCATTTTTTTACAATATTCAACTCTCAAACTCATAGATATATGTATGAGGCAACATAATAAAAAGGAACCAAGTCATAATAATAAAAATACGGATAAAAGCACATAAGGCTAAAATATGGCTATAGCTTATCATATAATTCAATTTTTCTCAACAATTCAATAAGCAATTTCATCGTTCAAAAGTTTTATCTTAATATTTATCCTGAATGAGATAAGTCATTTAAACACTGAATCATGAATCAATAAAATAAGTATATGACTATGGCTCGATAAAGAATCTCAACATGGAAATTAATCATTTATACCCAATTAACAAGTCATTACCTTAAGCATGCTTCTAAGCCACAACTTCAAGTCATCACGTAGTCAAAGAATCAACAAAACATGAATAAGGAGTCCACATAGTCCAAACAAGAAATAATCATAAGTCAAACATTTACCTGATATGGTCATAACCTAGCTAATCATATATGCTCATCACCCTACATATACGTAGCTCTTAAATCAAACGCATTGGCGTAAGAGGGTGGTCCTTTCGTCATCACATTCGCGATGGTTTATCCGCATTTGCGGTGAAGTCTTTCCAGACGAGTGTAAAGTTTTTCTTCGCGATCACGAAGCAGTAGACCGCGATCGCAAAAGGTAGTGCTGGGCAAACTTATTAAGTTGAAAATTTTGGGATTTTACATATTCGTTCATTTTTTGAGCCCTAGACTCCGAAAGGAGGAGATTTTGAAAAGCAATTTTACTACTACTTTGGAGACTTGAGTCATTTCTAGTTGGATTTGAAAGGAAACATGGTTTGTTGTTAATTAAGGCTTGCTGGATGAAGGTAAGTATCTTGTTTATCCTTGTAAGAGGAAATTCTCCCCATAGTGATCTATATTTACTACTTATTGCTTTTCTAAAAATGGAGCAGTTAGGAGTTTTGGAATTCCCTCCGTGAAGTTGGCCTATTGCAGCTAAATTAGATCTGTCCTATTAAATGTATCTGTTATACCACTAGAGTATGTTTCATGAGTGACGTTTGGTGTGGAAGATGTACAGAACTTTTAAAATCATTTTTCATCCGTTCTACTCTATCTTTTTATGGCTAGATTATACTGAAACGTCCTTCTCAAAATGCAGGTATTGTGATGGCTCTAATAGGTTCTCTTTTTAGTGTACTCATGGTAAGTATTACGGCCTGTATGTAAACCTGGATGTCAGTCTCTCTCTCTCTCTCTCTCTCTCTCTCTCTCTCTCTCTCTCTCTCTCTCTCTCTTTGGCGAACTGGTCAGTCATCTATATATGTAAGTGATAACTTCGCTGCTGGAGTGGTTTGATACTTCTAAAGCATTGAATATTTGTTAAGATGTAACTTCCCTTTGGATAAGTTGTATTTCAAATGACCTTCCTTTCTGAACATGCCCATTAAGGAAAGTGTTTCTCTAGAGTTGCTTGTTATCTTGCTATATTTTAAATGAGAAGCTAAGTTGGTGATGAATATTTTTCAAGGAAAAGACATAAGTTGCACATTACAGTTGTCCTGAAAAGTCAGTTACACACTTAACTTTTAAGAGCGATCTAATACCCCCTTATTCTTGTCCGAAGTGAATTAATACCTCTTTGAGATATATACAATCAGTCGCATGGTGGATGGTGTTGCACACTCTCCCTATGTCTTCGCCACGTATTCCCACATTAGATTCAATTTGAAATTTCCCCCTTTTTTTTCTTTTTATTTTGAAATTTCTCTCTTTTTTAATTTTCGTCACCTTCGTTATATTTGTTGTCAAAATCTCTTCCCCTAGACTCCCTTCATTCAGTACCATCATTCACCCCAATATTTCAACTTGATAAATTAGTATGCAAGTTAATTGTGATGATTTTTGGCATTGTAATACCAAGAGAAAGGAGGTTGAGATGAGAGATATGAATGTGGTTAGAGGTTGACAGGAGAAAACGGAAGCTTGCCGGAGAAACTTTTCTGGCAAACATCCGGTGGGATAATATAGTTTAATTTGAATTTTACCTTGTTAATGCATTTTCATGGGTTTTCAATAGTCAACAACAACAACAACAAACTCAGTGTAATCCCACAAAGTCGGGGGAGGGTAGTGCGTACGAAGATCTTACCCATACTTTGTGAAGATAGAGAAACTATTTTCGATAAACCCTCAACTCAAGGAATGATGAAAAAGAAGCAGTAGCAACAAGCATTGGCAATAATACGATAATAGAATAAGCAAAGCGAAAGAAATATCAGGAAGTAAAAGTAAACTACGAATAAGGAAGTACAAGAATAATGCTAATATAATTGGTATGGAAAAGCAATACACTCAACTACCTACTAGCCTTTTAACCTAATCCTCGACTTTCACACCCTCCTATCAAGGGTCATGTCCTCGGTAAGCTGAAGTTTTATCATGTCTTGCTAATCACTTTTCCTCAATACTTTTTCGGCCTATCTCTACCTCTTCTCATGCTCACCAAGGCCAACCTCACCTCCTTATCGGGGCATCTGTGCTCCTCCTCTTCACATGCCCAAACCATCTCAGCCTAACTCCTTACATCTTGTCCTCAACGGATGCCACTCCCACCTCATCCCGAATATCTTCATTCCTAATATTATTTCTTTTAATATGCCCACATATCCATCTCAACATCCTCATTTTTGCCATTTTCATTTTCTGGACATATGATTTCTTGATTGGCCACCATTCTGCCCCATACAACAAGGTAGGTCTAACAACCACTCTATTGAACTTACCTTTAAGTCCTAGTGGTATATTCTTATCACACAGAACACAACAATTGAGCCTCTACTTCATCCATCCCGCTCCCATACGGTGTGTGACATCATCGTCAATCTCCTCATCATCTTGGATTACTGACCCAAGGTACTTGAAATTTGCTCTCTTGGGGATGACTTGTGAATCATGCCTCAGTCTTCATCCGCCTCATACGCCACATCACTGAACTTGCAATCCTAATATTCTATTTGATCCTGCTCAACTTGAAATCTTTTGACTCTAAGGTCTGTCTCCACACCTCCAGCGTCGCGTTAACACCGCCTCGTGTCTCGTTAATCAATACTATGTCGTCAGCAAATAACATGCACCTCGACACCTCCCCTTTGAATGTGACGCGTCAGGACATCTATCGCCAAGGCAAATAAAAATGGGCTAAGGGCTAATCCCTGGTGCACCTCGTCATCATTGTATAGTGTTTCGAATCTCCTCCACTGTCCTCACTCAGGTCTTAGCTCCGTCATACATGTCCTTAATCACCTTAGTGTACGCTACATGAACACTTTTAGCCTTCAAGCATCTCTATAGAACCTCCCTAGGGGCTTTGTCTTAAGCTTTTTCTAGGTCTATGAACCCTATATGTAAGTCCCTCTTTCTCTCTCTCTACTGCTCCACCAATCTCCTTACAAGGTGAATACCTTCCATAGTCGATCTCCCCATCATAAATCCGAACTGGTTATAAGAAATAGACAAACTCCTCCCTACCTTCATTTCCACCACCCTCTCCCAAACTATCATGGTATGGCTCAACGACTTGATACCTCTATTATTGTTGAAATTTTAGATATCACCCTTATTAATGTACAACGGAATCATCGTGATCCGCCTTCATTCCTCGGGCATCTTCTTCATCCTAAAAATGACAAACAACCCAGTAAGACACTCCAAGACTGTCTCGCCCACGTTATTCCAAAATCGGGATTTTGTGTGACCCAGACGCTCTTCCCTTGCCCATCTTATGCATAGCCCCCTCAACCTTTGCAACATTAATACGCCTACAATACCCAAAATGTAGATGACTCTCAGAGTGCTCCAAATCATCAAACACAATATTCCTATCCTCTTCTTTGTTCAAGAGCTTATGAAAGTATGACTGCGATCGTCTTTTAATAAGTCTCTTCCACCAATACTTTGTCTTCCTCTTCTTTGATGTACCTCATTTGATAGCATGTACAACTTCTTGTCCCTGCCTTTGGCCCCAGTTCTTCATACATGCGTCCAGACGCTACAGTCTTGGATGCCGTATCCGCTAACTTCGCCTCCTTCTTAACGTTCTTATACCACCCCATATTCCTCTTCTCCTCGTCGTCTTTGTTCTCCACTAGCCTCAAGTACGCTTAAACCTTTGCTATTTTGCTTGTCACGAAGCTTCTAAATCAATTATGCTGGTTAGTATAAGTGACATAAGGTTATTTCTAGGCAGTTTCTGGTGGTGTGATTTATCCTAAAGTATATATTACTGAAGGAAAAGGGAGGAAGGATCGACAAATATGGAGATTATGGGGGTAGAAAAATAAAAGGAGAGAGAAGAAAAGTCGGAGAAACAAAAGGAAAAAGAAAAAAGGAAAAGAAAGGGAAAAAGAAAAGAGCGCCCACAATTAATTAAGTGTATTAGGTGCATAATGTCCAATAAAATTTTACACATATAATTTAATCAGTTTTTAACATGTGTTTTGCTCCACTCACATTTATGAAGATAATTTTTTTTCTTTACCACATCATCTTTCATGGAGATATTAAATTCTTTTCCGACAAGGATGGGGGTATTAGGTCGTTCATAAAGGTTAAGTGGATAACTGACTTGTCCGGGCAACTACATGGTGCAACTTATGTCTTTTCCCCTTTTTTATGCAATGTATGCATTATGAACTATATCATGAATCCTATTACAATATAAATTGAGACATGGATATTTTCCGCTACATTGATACTTTTGAGGTGCTTCAGTAATTGATCTCAGCAAATTACACACACACACCCTCTCTCTCAAACACACACACTCTCTATTCTCTCTTGCACGCACGCACATATACACACACACACAAACACTTGTAAATGTTTGAATGCTTTTTGTTAGAGAGATATCAATTGGTATCACATGTTTGATTGATGATGCAGGCGGTAATTATACCAACTTTGTGCTTTCTGAAAATTTTGGGGAATAAGGCTACAAATAATCAGGTAATCATTGCTCAGGTGTTGTCATGCTTTGAAGCCTTCCAATTTTGTCCGACTGCTAATTAAGAAATTCTTGTTCTTGAGTTCCAATAGCGGCATCAGAGTAGAATTGTAGGAAGCAGAACTTAGTGGCAAGTTCATTGGGGTCAACTGCTGTTGTAAAATTCCAAACTCCTAATTCTAGTAAATTCTTGGAGAGACTTGGTACATAATTTCTTTTGCGTGACAAGCAGATTTCACTTCAATGGATACTGGTAGATCTTCACTAACACAGAGGCACTCATGTCTTAAAGGATTCCTTTGCAGGCGCCAATCCATTTCAAGCCATTCAGCTCAAAAATGTTTTTTCCGTTTGCTAATAGGTGCTGAAACGGCCTAGATTGCATGATTAGAGCCCCTTATATCCCTTCCTTCTTTTGAGATCCCACAAACCATGAGACATAGCAGGTCTTGTTGACTTTGGTTATCCCCATCATACTAGTTGGCTCCTCTTCTTGGACAACTGAGTCTATGTTATAATAGTATGATGATTCTAAATAGAATTAAGATGAGCTAATAGGTGGTTCACCATTTGCAAATTCAACTAGCTAGAGTTTACTTCCGATTACCTATAAAGTTGATTAGTAACATTAAATGTCTTTTGGTCAATTGCTATTTCTTCGTTAATTTATGGTTTTAGCAAATGCAGATCATACTCAGTGTAGCCATTGTCTTATTGGGGATTGTCAGCGCGTTCATGGGAACATACACTTCTCTGTCACGACTTGCTGAGGAATACTGAAATATTTGCAACATGTCCATATAAAGCATTATGTGGGAAGTTGCAAGTGTTGTTTACAAGTGTGTTACTGGTGGAAAACAAATTAAATTCTATAGGGAACCTTAGTAGTTGTATTACATATTAGTAAGTACGGAGCAAGAAAAATTATAATGATTCATAGAGCTCACGTTCTTTAATCAGTTGCTAAATTGTTTCTGCCGTCTTGGCATTGTCTTTCCTGGATATTTGCATAGAATTTGGAGTTCCATAAAATTTGTTACTCTTGGCATTGACGTCTTTGCTTTTTAGTTGGATTGGTTAGCTTATACTTATGTCATGCCAACCATTATGAAATGACATCTATTACTCAATTTGCCGAAAAATATTGTTCCAATATATTTTTCACTTTATATTTTTTCGTTTGACCCTTCCAAGGCATACATTTAGTCATTAATTTCATAAGGTACTCGTTGTGAGTAATATTACTACTGTATTAGATAATTTTTTGCCGATGGATAATAGGGACAAAAAGGGGTAGTTTCTCTCTATATATATATATATATTGCACATTGAAACATTTAATAATTATCCATCCAGCTTGGGAAAAAAGGACGAGTATGTTAAAAAGAACAACTATGTAAGCAACTCCTCAGTCATCCTAATAATGCCATATGCAGTTTATGTAACTGAAAATAAATTAGCAAGTAGGTTCAATATATTTTTCAAACAGGATGAGGAGTTCATTTACAGTTTTGGTAAATTAGAAAGTAGCTACAAGTAATTTACCGTGTATAAAATCCAAAAAAAACAAAAAATATGTATACATAACCGCACCAAAAAAGAAAAGAGTTTCTTTCTTTGTGAAAGCTTATGATTAAACATTGAAAACAAAAAAAGAACAAAGTGAAAACAGTAGGTTATTTGAATTGGCAGAAATAGTTTTTTCTCTTTCATTCAACAAAATAAGTATGCGCTTAGGCATTTTAGAATTAAAGTGAGTTTTCCCTATTAACAATTCTACCTTTAGGGAAAAATTGCAGGTTATTAATGTAAGTGCTGGAGGATCCAATTTTTCACACCTTCAGGGAAGGGAACATAGGGGCACATCTTTTGGCAAGGGGTGGGTTAAAGTTGTCCAAAGCAGATCTAAAACAACATTTTGCAGCTCCACCTGGCTTCACGAAGGCAGTTATCCTAGTAGACAAGTCCGGGCCTTTTTTGGGTAAAAACTAATCGGAAGACGTTTGTAATAATTTGGCTTGCTTTGGGAAAATATGTGCCCAAAGTAGCTCTACTATGCAGAGTTATGTTGCACACAACTCCATTGTTTTTAGGAACGGAAAAGGTCCAAATATGCCCTTATACTATACGAAATTGAGCATATTTGCCCTTCGTTAATACTTTAGCTCAAATATGCCCTTACTGTCACATAGTTGGTCCATATATGCCCTTAGAATTATACAGTTGGCTCATATATACACTTTTTGAAACGGAATCCACCCAAACTAATTAGCTCTTTCGTTAATTGTATTAAAGTGTATTACAAACACTATTTCCTTTTTTATTAGCACTTTTTTTCTTTACCTTACTCTTTTCTTTCATCTTTTTTCTTTTCTTCCTTTTTTTCCTTTTTCTTTCTCCCTTATCATATTTCCTCCATTACCGATATTTTCTCCATTTTCGTCATCAATTTCACTTGACAAAACTCATGAATTCCAATTACTATGAAAATTCTCCCATAAGAATATTTTTATAGATCATATATTTGCCAATTTTTTAATTTTTACTGAACAAATATTTAGTTCTAAAAAATTTAACAAAGTAAGATTGAAATAATATTAATGTAACAAAAAACCCGAAAAATCCAACAAAACCGAACAATCCAAACCGATATAATTGGTATGGTTTGGTTTTGATAAAAACCGAACCAACCCGTTCCATGTACACCCCTAATTTACATAGTTAATAAAAAAAATAGAAAATGTCCAGCTGATAAAAGATGAAAAAAGACTAACAACTCAAATTTATAACACTACAACTTGAACTCTAGGTTTTTAATCATTAAATTATCTTTCTGAAAATAATTTAAATATTTTGATCTTTTGACTATTGTTAAAGGTTGAGATATTTTTATTATTTTAAAGTTTAAACCATAATTTTTGGAATAATTTAATTTCATTTATTTAGAGGGCCAGTGAAATTGGAACTTGATTACCTTATGAGAGATTTTTCTTAGTAATTAGAATTCATGAGTTTTGTCAAGTGAAATTGGTGACGAAAATGGAGAAGACATCAGTAATGGAGGAAACGGATAAAGGAGAAAGAAAAAGAAAAAAAAAAGAGAAGAAAGAAAAGAGAAAGGTAAAGAAAAAAAGTACTAATAAAAAGAAAATAGTTTTTGTAATACACTTTAATACAATTAAAGAAAGAGCTAATTAGTTTGGGTGAAATCCGTTTCGAAAAGGGCATATATGGGCCAACTGTGTAACTCTAAGGGTATATATAGACCAACTATGTGACGGTAAGGGCATATTTGAGCTAAAGTATTAAAAAATGGCAAATGTGCTCAATTTCGTATAGTACAAGGGCATAATGATTGAAATGGGACATTTGGTTTGTGTAATAATGTTAATATTTAGTAATGAATAAAATCTTCTGTGTTACCGGTTTCACCCTATTTTACACGAGTTAAACAGAACACTAACGTATGATACTCTACAAGGTTAATTAGAATTATGAATTCGCCACATAGCATTTATGGTATACAAGGATATATTAACTTAAAATAATATATGTTAAACTCCAGTTATGTAAGGCCCCGTAAAAGTTCACCAAGGATTTAAGGTTTTATAGTGCCAACGTCAAGATAATGTGTACGGAAGATTGTATATAGTTTGCATCATGAAATAGGTGGAAGAATTTGCAGAAAATTGCGATTCTACAACCGCGGATCGGTTTCGCTGACCGCAGAACCATCGCGGAGTTAGAAGCAATTTAATTTTGAGGGTCATTTAGGAGTAGGCTATGCGGACCACATAGCAATTTCGCGGACCGCGTATCCATCACATAATCAGCATGAAAACTTTTGGAAGAAGACTTCGCGGTCAAATGTGCGGACTGCAGAATCGTTTCGCTGACCACAGATCCGTCGCGGTCTTGACGAGACCCAAGCCATATTTAGAGGTCCATTTTGCGGACCGTATAGAATATCTATGGTGCATTCCGTGATCGCAGATTTGATATCGGGAATTTTTTGGAATTTTCAAACCCGACGCTATATTAATAAAAAAGGCTTAAAGAATTATTTTAGAAAGAGAGTCAGATCATTTGAAGAGAGGGGAGAAATTTAGAGAGAGACGGAGAAGCTCCAAGCCGTTTTTCTTCAATTTCTTGCTCAATCTTGGAGATTCAAGGAAGATATTCACCAGATCTTCAACTAACCGAGTAAGATTTTTCCCCTAAGCTTTCATCCAATACTTTGTAATGAGTTCAAGTAAGACTTTTTTATGTTGGGTCTTATGGGATTGTGATCGGAAGCCATAAACCCTTAACCTCGATTTTGGGGCGCATGTGATGAATGGGAGGTGAGGTTCTTGAGTTGGGAGTAAGTCATTAGGCATGCATGTACCAATGAAGGTGGTATGAAGGTTGCTAAACTATTATAGGTGAATTGTTGACTTGGGTATTGGTTGTGGGGTAAAGAAATCCCAATGTAGGAAGTTGTAGTCAAGTATGTACACTTTGTGTTTGATGAAATTCCTATATGACCTTGACTATGAATATCTTTCTAGTAATGGTTCAATTTGTTTATGTTGCTATAGATTGAAGTTACTAAGAGTAGTGGAATATTGTAGTTGTAACACCCCGAAAATTTTTGAAGAACTTAAGTGTAAAGCCCGATAAAATTTACAAAGAAAATAATATTTTATGGTGCCGGACTCGCCGCGGTTCGGACTTTTTGGGTTGAACAATGCACGGGAAAGTAAAGAAATATTTTTGACGGAACTGTGTATTTCTGCGGTCCATTATGCGATCGCAGAATCACTTTGCGGACCGCAGAGTGACGCAGTTGTTTGGGTCTGTTGGAAGCAATTATGCGGTCGACTATGCGACCGCATAACTGTTATGCGGACCGCATAGTGACCGTAGACTCAGGCATATATTTGGTCATTTTGGACACCAATTATGCGACCGATATGCGGTCCGCATAACCATTATGCGGTCGCATATGCGACCGTAGAACCTGTCCGGAGCTTTATTTTTGGATTTTTAAAATCCGACCCTATTTTGTTAAATACACTCTTTGGGCCATTTTTGAAACATAATCTGATATTTTAGAGTGAAAGAGAGTGCCCTAGAGTGAGAAGGTGTTCTTCAATAATTATTCTTCAAGTCTTGCTCAAATCTTGGAAGATTATCAAGGGAAACTCACAAGTTCTTCATCTAAGAGGTAAGGTTCCATACCCTAGTTTTCAATTTCGAATTTGGGTAAAAGATGGTTGATTAGGAGTATGATTCATGGGTATGAGAGTATTATTTATACATGCATGTACCAACAAGAATTGTGGGAGGATTGTTGAACTTAAATAAGTAAGTATTGGGTTGTGGAGTGAAAGAAATCTTGTAGGAGAACCTTGTGGTTATATTTGCATACCTAATGTTTGATAAAATGCTCAAATGAGTTGAGACCATGAATATCTTCCTAATTATAGTTTAATTTTGTTATGTCTCAAATAGATTGGGATTGCTAGAATTTTCGGAATGTTGTAGTAATTTAAGAAAAGCTCAATTGAGGTATGTTGGCTAAACTTTCTCTCTTGGAATTGAATTTCATAACGTTACCGTGAGTTTCAAAGTATGGGTTGCGTATTAGAATGCTGTGGGAAATTTTCAATATTCTTAAGACTCTTAATTGCTCATATGTGTACCTAAAGTCTTGATTCGGAATGTCTTATTGTTGATAACCTATAAAGATGGTTGGAAGTGAAATAAGTGAATTGGGAATATAATGTGTGGCCAACGTGCCAACAGTGAAAGGTATACTTGTGTCCAATGGTGCCGATGTAATGAAATAATGTGAGAAAGGTTATGAAATGAACTTTGACTCAACTATTCCAAAATTTACTTCGACAATATAATCGGCTAAAAGTTTATGAACTCAAGTGATGCCCATATGTGGCTGTTTTAGCTAATGCTA